CTTCCTCTATCATCTTAAAAAAAACTGGTTCCTCCCAACAGTCTCCTTGGGGGGCAGGAGAGGCAGGGGGTAGCAAGAACCAGACATGAGCCAGGAATCAGCTGATTCCTGGCTCCTGTCCAGTCCCCAACCCTGTGCCTCTCCTTTTTAAATGCATTAAGAGCTTGTTGGCTCTTACTATATTTCAAAGGCTGGTGCACAGCAGGGGGGACCCAGGACAGCTGATTTCTGCCAGCTCTTAATACATTTAAAAGGCAGAGCCACAGTGGGATTAGCTCCCAGGGTTGGGAGCCAACCCCACTGCAGCTCCCCCTCTTACCGACTAATCAACAAAAACTCCATCGACTAGTCAATTAGTTGATTAAACTTAACACCCCTAATTTGTGTCATCTCAGAATGGCAAATTAAAAGGTTTCCAAAAACTGCAGTGATGTATTGGTTTTAAAATCTCAAAACAAGCAATTGGATCAGTTTGAAAGTCCTTCCTTCTTTATTTGGATCCACACAGCACAGTTCAAGACTTAGTTATTGATAGGTTGGGAATAGTAAGTTATCAATTTAAAAACTGACCATGCAATCTTAAAGATTTTCTCCAAATTAAACAGAAGCTCTGAAATAGGATAAACTTTTTATACTTAAATCTAGTATTTAAAATCCATCTTGAATTGCAATTTATTAGTCTTGAAATTAGCCACTGTCAACTTGAAATAAGATTTCACATTGGACTAGAGAATAATGCATCAAAATTCCTTTCTGTATAGTTATTTTGATATGCTTAACATTTTTTATTAGAGAACAATTGCTTAGTTCTCTTTTTACAGCACCATTTGAAGTGTATATTGCAAGCAACCCTTTTGTAATCATCATGGTTACCAAACCGTCAAAGAGATTTTAGTCTACTAAATTAATATCTATTTAAAATATATTACAACCCAGTCAAAAGGCAGCTCATATTTAGATATGCTTCCACCTGCTGGATACCATATTTGCTATTACATCAAACTCACATGATCAGTTTTCATTTTAATAGTTTATTGCTTAGGTTATTCATTAGGCAATTTGATACCATTTTATTAATACTAGTTAAGATCTAGTCCACATTATAGATTAGGGATGTGAACAGCTAACCGGTAATCGGTATCCATTAACCTTAACAGATGAGGCCTTCCAATTACAGAGTAGGGGCTGGAGCAGCTCCAGGCCTGTCACAAGCAGGGGACAGCATGGCCAGAGAAGCCCCTGTCAGGTGGTGGGCCTGGGAGAGCTGCAGGCAGAAGCACTCCACCCTGACTTCTGATTTTAGAATTTAACCCAAAGCCTGAAAGAATATTTGGGAGGAGACAGGGTTTGTCTACATGCAATTTAGACTCCATCATGCCATGTCATTTCCATTTTAAAAATGATCCAGTACAATTCCTTACACTTTTCTCCATCCCAATATTAAAAACTCATTTCCTTCTGTAGCACTCAAAAATGTTTCTCTTTTTTCCAATGTATTCCCTCACCTTGGAATCAGTCTTCCAAATTTTATACCAAAGTGCACAGGTCTAATACTTATTAGAATTCTTACTAAATATGGATCCATAGAAATTTAATCAATATGCTCTTAATAAAGTCTCAAACCCACTTGTTCCACCAAGGAACATTTATGTACAGAAGTGAAATCTATCATCTCAGAACAAAACATATCAGAGAATCTTTAGTTTAGAGTGGTAGGGATGGCATTGTAAAACATCAACAGGTTTTTTTAAAAAGTAGCATACACCTTCAGCAATATTGGAAATGGATGTGCCTTCTTATATAAGTTGTAATTCTCACTTGATAACTCCTTTGAATGCCTCTAATGCCAAAAAATCTTTTATACCAAATTATCTAGAAAGCTAAAAATAAAGTGTCTTCAAAGGGAAGAGTCAACAATTAGTTTTCTAGCCTAGTTCTTATAAATGTTACAGTTCTACATAGTTTGTGTAAAAGTAAACAAGACTTTCTTACCTTGTTCATTGCGCCAGGTTGTGGCCCCCTCAGTCCTGTCTGTCCTCCCATCTGGGGGGAACCTTGCTGTAGAGTTTCAGCCAACAAGTTACCAGCATTACCTATTCCTGGATTTGGATATGGCATGTTGGGTCGTCCTCTTCCTGCGCCAATTGAACCATTCAGGACTTGTCCTTGCATCATCCCCTGTCCACTGCCTGCAGCCAGCATCCCAGGATTCATGCCAGCATTCATTCCTGTGTTCATTCCCATGCCAGGCTGATTAACTGGACTATTTACTGCGGGCATCATTCCTGGAGTTGACTGGGCCGAAGGACCTTGATTTGGGCCACTTGTACCCATCCCCATATTGGGAGACGTCAACCCTGCCTGTGCCATGGGGCTTTTAACCATGCTGTTTAAAATTCCCATTCCAGGACTGTTCTGTTGTGTTTGACTTGCCATGCCTTGGGCTGGACCACCAACCCCCATATTGAGGTTTGGGGAACTACCAGCCCGTAGCAGTTCAGAAAGCTGCTTATGTTTAGATGCAGCATCTTGTGCTATGCCAATGGTATTCTGCAGCTGATTAATGTCACCACCATTGGTAAGTACCAAATCTGTGGAGCTGATTAGTTCATCTGGCAAATCATGTTCCAGATCAAAGAGGGATCCAAAATCTAGAAGAAAAAAAGAAAACAAAAATGTTTTTAAAAATTCAGACCAACTGAAATCAAGGATTTTTTTTCATTCCAGTTTATTTCAGACAAACAGCACACCTTCACATGCACTGTTCACATGCTATTACAGCATCAGATAGTATTTGAAATTAACCAGCATGCCTTGATGCAGAACATCCCTAAACTTCAAAGACTTTTAATGAGATGACACTTTGTTTTCTTACGATGCATGAAAAAAATCTCATTCACAACCCCCACTCCCTGCATAAACCTATTTTGCTGAAGGATCTGTTGGCTGTTTCAGAACATATTTGTGAATGCTCAGACCTTAAGTGTGGGAGTATTAGTTTAACAAAGACTTTTTCCAAAGTGTTCAACACTGAAATTAAATAGATTTTCATAGTCAAAAAATAATCCTTTGAATCATTAAAAATCCCTTCCCCTCAATTTCTCAGCTTTCACTTAACTAAGTCAGTCATTTTTTGAACAGGCACAACCTGGATTTCTAGAGTAAAAGCAAAACATAAGACTTCCTTTATAAAAACATGGAGTAGCTAAACAGAGTAGATGTACTTTTTCCCTTCTTTTGCTGGTTACCTTAAAGTATCCCAATTTGTAAAGCCAAACCAAGTTTGGATTCAATGAATCTATTACATAGGGTAACATCCACTATGATCCTATCTAGTTTCAAGTGTAGAATTATAAAATATAAACCATCCCCTCGCTATACAGGCAGAATAAGTGAGAGTGAAAGACAGGAGGAGTCAAAGCCATCCAAATTGCTATGCAGGGTCACTATTAAGGTCAACTGGTATATTTTCAGAGTATGTCTACTCTACACAGCTTTTAGAGACACGGCTGTGTCGACAAAGCCTTGTCTCTAAAAGTCAGCATGTGTGAACGCTGCTGGCACTTTTGCCAACAGAATACTTCCACTGACTACTAGAAGCTTTTGCTTTGTTGATGACAGCACTCCTGCTAACAAAGCAGCGTTTACATTTAAACTTGCCACAACAAAACTGTTGTTTACTGGGGGAAGGAGGGTTCAAACACCTAGAAGCAACAAAATTTCTGTCCATCAAGTGTAAGCATAGACACAGCCCCAGACAGGTTGCCTGTGGAGCAGAGATGTGAATAAGTAACCTGTTAACTTCCCAGGTAACGCTTACTGGGTAACAGTTAACCTATGCGCGGTCCGCCCCAAGTGGAGGGCTACAAAAGCCCTACCATGCCACAGGCCAGGGAAGGACCCAGGAATCCTGCATGGAACTGGGAGCAGCAACCTACCCACAATTCCGCTTAATCTGTGAATGGGTTAAACCTAACTTTTAACCAGTTAACTGATTAAACGGGATTTTACATCCCTAACATGGAGATTATTGCAATTGGCAAGATACAGCAGCACCAAGCATTCTAATCTAGAAAAAAAAAATCACAAAAAAGAGATATGGCACAGGTACCGTGCATTTCTTAATCCTTACTATGAAGTCAGCGATCTGTGTGATTGTTTTACAATATTAAATATAAACCAGAAAGTTTACACAAAAGATCACCTGCTATATTACAAATTTATACTATTTTTATGACTAATGTTTACAGTCTTCTGAGTTTTCTGCCTAATATTTAGTTAGATGCTATTTTACATAATTAGCAATCAAGTTTAATTGTAATCATTTTTTAAAAGTTTCATTTCATGAATGCTCTATCAGATATTTTAGTTCACTTTCAAAAGAAAAGCGATTCAAGACATTGTTAGTCATAGGGCATGTCTATATTTACCAGAGGATCGATCCGCTAAATCCAACACTGAGAGCCCCCATTAACCACAGTACTCTTTGCAATCGCAAGAAGTATGGGAAAACTCTCTCATTGACTTTCTGCTGTGGGACCACCCCAGAAAAATCCTTGTAAGATACATCAACTGCATATACGCAATTCCGGCTACAACTGCATATCTTACATCGATTTTCTCTGCCAGAGTTGACCTGGCCTTAATCAGTGTTGCCAATACACTATTATTGCACAATTGCAATGTTGATGAAGGGGACGCGCCCACCCTTACTGAACTCAAGGAGTATGATCACAAGTCCTCACTAACGTATTTAAAATGAAGACAAAGAATAGCAGAAATAAGCAGTAGGTTAAGACTGAAAGGCTGAATTGCATTAAATACTTGCTCAATAGGGATCACAGTGATATGTTACCAAATTGCAAGACCTTAGTACCAGAGTATTTGCAGACTTGAAAGTAAGTATTACTTCAGAAATGGAAAGTGAACTACCAAAAAATTCTGAAAATTTTGCTGCTGCGGATTAGCAAAGGAAGAGTCCTATGATGGACTAAGATGAAGCAATTTCAGTTCTAGTTGCATTTTAATGCTCCATCACAGACTTATCCATGCACCATAGATAAAGGGCCTTCTGGGTAAAAATTTTTGCTTTCATTTTCCACCCCTCCCTTATTTCATTAATTTTGATTATCCTCTGCCGCAATGAAGTGCAAATAAACCATCCTTTAGTCTCCATTATTTGGGGGGAAACTTATGCAAATGCTAGGCCTTGCATTTATATTTTATCAGTTGATCATTCATAGTACCTTCCAATATTATTATAATATAATTATTTTATAAATGAAATTGAGAAAAAGGGCCCCTTAATTCTGCTAAGCATACATTACCCAAGAGGAAAACATGAACGTCTAATATTTCACATCAGAAAGAACAGAAAGAACTTCACTTGTTTATTGAGAACAAACATCAGTGAATGGAAAGAAACAAGGATTACAAAGGAGAAGCAGCATAAAGATAGCACTATCAAACCATTAAAAAGGGCTATATGGTACTCTGAAAACAAATGTCAAATGGTGAGAGACTGTCAACCAGAAAACACTGTTTAAGTAAGGTAAGGCTAAGGGGATCAGTGAAGAAGGCTCAGAAACAAAAGAAAAGTGATTCAGAAGCTACAGCCCATGGTCCAGCAAAGATCTGAAAAACCACCTGTTAACTGGTGGGATAAAACTTAGAACTATAGCAGAGAGATTTTGCAAGAGAATGTGGTCTGTGAATGGTGCATCACATTAAGCATGGCACAAAACCAAAGCCAGAACAAGAAGAACTCTCAACTCATAGCAGTTTGACACATCATTGCTTGCAAAGGCCCATATAAAGGTTTTAAGGTATGCAGCACTCCTGTAAATTAATATGAAATTATTGTTTGGGGGATTCTAAAGCCATATTTACTTTTCCTCATGCAATGAAGGGATCACTTAGCATCTCTCTGAAGAGCTAACCATCTTATGTGATCCTCCCTCCTAAGTGAACGAAAGCAAAAGTTCTAACCTTTACATGTTTTTGTTTCTGAGAACAACTCTAACAGCAAGAGATGAAATTCAACCCTGACTCCTCATTGGTGGTCATGCTAAATCAGCCTTTCAGCAGTAAGAATGCTTCCACAAAATGGGAAAAAAAGTTCTCAAAAGGCAAGAAAGTAGCAGGTGCATGAAGGAAAAAAAAAGAGCAAAATCATACTAAATTGAAGGGAAGTGGTTGGGAGATAACCCTCTGGCTCTAAACATTGAGATACAGAATATAAATGTTTTCTTTTATCTAGAGGTATCATTTGCCAATATTCTCACTTCCAAAGAATACAAAAGAATTGTCTCATGAGAACAGCAGTAAGCATCAACCAAAAATGAGGTGACTGGTAAAGTCAAATTGCCCAAAACCCAAAGCTTCAAAGTCTTTTACAGCCAAAGAACAGAAAGAAACTAGACACTGTTCAAACTTCTTACGACTTTCTGTATAAAAAAGTTTTTTCTGTGGCACAACTGAATTATGTCATCAAGCTCTCTAGCAGCCAGAGAGGGGTTGTCAAGCATAGGACTAGGTAGCTGCACCCACTGCTCACTTTTAAAAATCAAATTAGTAGTTTGGAAGACCGCTAATGAGCAGGGAGATCCCATTGACCTGCGAGATCAAAGAAAGAACGGACACAGGAAATGGAGTTCATCAAACTGCTGTGTGTGCACTTACATATAACTATCACAGCTTGCTTCATATTCATATGAATTTGCAGATTGTATTTATCTTGACACTGAACAGGCTGCATTGCCTCTGAGCAAATGAGCACTGCCATGGTTTGACCACTGGCCAGCTATTCAAGAACCTGGTATCAAAATTCAGGAAGTCAAGTCAGCTTTCTGTGACTTCTACAACCTAATTATCTCTTTCACTCAAAATGCATCCAAGATAACCAAAGTAAGGGATAATGGATCACCACCAAGGCAGTGATTTGTGATCTCTAGAGACATCATGGTACCTTTCCAAATACAGAAGATTTACTTTGGTTTAAATTCTGAAGTGCAAATTTTAAGAGTGCCCAATTCATGAATATCTAAAAGCGACCTTCAGTGTTCCATGAGATTAATCAGGGGATGCATTAATATCATGCATTCACAGGTCAAGTGAAGATGTAGAGAAGAGGGAATGTTATTGTCTCCATAACTCTATCTCTGATTAGGCAATATCCAAAAGGTTACTCATAAAAAATAGCATTAAAGTAGCCATAAGGTGCAAAGAGGATATTCAACAGTTGTCTTATAAGCTTAACAGCAGATGCTTCTGCTATGCCCAAACATCAGCTACTGCCCATGCAACCACAGAGCTCATCTGTGAAAAAGACACCCCATGAAACATTATCCTTTCAGGAATAAGGATGTTAAGAGACAGGTAATTCACTAATCATGTAGTCAATAGAATTTTTATCAACTACATGATTAGTTGATAAGGGAAGAAGTGCTCAGACCTGATTCATGCCAGGTCCAGGAGCTACCCCTGCTGTAGCTCTGTAGTTAAAATATAATAGGAGCTGGGTGGGCAGGCAGCCCAGCTCTTAGTACTTTTAAACTGCAGAGACGCAGTGAAGAGATGTGCTGGGGGGAAATGGCTTTTAAGCCAGCTCCCCCTAGCACCAGCTCCTGCTTTTCCATTCTTGCTGCCTCTG